AAGAGAGAGATGATGGTCCATCCCGAGATTGTTGGGTGTTTTTTTTGTTTTTGTTAAAATTAAAGTAGTCTAGATAAATGAAGAAAAAAATTTTCTTATAGAAGATTAAAGGAGGGAATGTAACAAAGAGAGAGGGAAGACTGGTTGCTAAAAGTTATGCGAAGGAAGAAGAAATTTAAAACCAAAAGCGCCGCTTAGTTTTTCTCTGGAGCTATTGTGTTAGAGTGTAGCCATTCTTGTATTTTAAAGCTGTGAAATTCTCTGTAATCTCAGCAACTAGGAAGACTGGGCGTTTGTACTTGGTGCTTTAAAACGCTAGTGTTTTCCTCCTCTGCGGGTGTAAGGTAAGACTTCAAATAACTGGCCAGAATGTAGAATAACCAATAGTGTTTTGTGGCTTGCTTTCCCGTTTAAAGTATACTTTAGAATATCATATGCGATGGTTTGTGGCGATGGTTGTGCAAAAGAAGGAAAAAAGAGGGGGTTTGGTTTGTTTGGCGAGGTCTAGCTTTTCTTGGCAAGCATGTGTTGTTTTCACAGCTTATACTAAAGAGGACCATCCATGGTATGATGCATGGCGCATGCAGTTTTAATCTTCTTGGCTAAGATTGAAGTGTATGATGAGGATCTCATGTTAGCAGTTGGGAATCGATTAGTGACTTGTAAAAAAATACGTGAGCTATTATTAAGTTAAGTCTTTGAGTTCGATGCAGTGGTCGCGCAGTTGCTAATGTAGTTCCAATATATTACGAAGGTAGTTGTGAAGGTTCTAAAAGCGTTCCGAGTATCTGAGGTCGATAATCGCTGCTAATATTTGGAACCATGACCAGATTGTAGATGACGCATGGATACTCGCATCTGGCATGCGAAGAGATGTCTATTCCTGCCGTGGAATGCAAAGTTCGTCAGTACGAGGCCGAGTACCCGGGGTGAAATCCCATACAATGGCATATGTATTTATGGAAAGTCCATCGCAGAGGAGGTATGTTGTATTTCTGTTTTCGTTCTCTGCTTAGCTTTAAGCTGGGAAGCAATTTATAGAAGTTACTGTGATTGTGGAGAACTATGATGTGTGATAGGCATCTCTGGAGTTTTTTGTCCAGAAAGAAAAGGCAGCATAAAAATGGTAAAGAGATTTGGCAGTCAATAGTTACTGAATGGTTAGACCGGATGTTGTTGTTGGTCCTGCCAATCATGAACCTGCAAACCTTCTTTGAGAATTGGGAAAGGGTAGCGTGGCTCCGGAAGGACCGAGAAATAACGATTATGGAAAGAGAAAAGAAAAAAAGTGAGACCTGGCTGGAATTCAGTAGCTGCGAATGGCTCTCTAGATGGAATTTGTTGAGTATTTTGCGAGACAGAGAATATTATTTGCCAGTGAAGTATGTACTGAATGGTGTCAGACGCTGAATTGTGGTTGTTGGTGCCTGCGCAATGCCCTGGACCTTTCAAACGCTTGTTAAATTGAGGGTAGCCCGGTTCCGAAAGGACCGAGAAAAGTAAACATTGTGGAAAAAAAAAGTGAGACGCCCGAAGGCTTCGATTGAGCTGCATGGTTGAGAGATTGGAATGTTTTATATTTGCAGGCCAAAGGAATTTGTTGCTAGTTTTCAGAAAACAGTAACAGTCAAGATCAAAGAGTTCACGTAGCTGCGCTGGCCCGTAATTTTTTTGTATGGCGACGTGCAACATAATGCCATGTATTACTTGTGAGGCCCTGATGTTTTTTGCTTCTCGTCTCTCGTCTCTCCGTATCCTCTTCTCTCCTCTCTGTGTTTTTTTTTTTTTTTTTTGTTTTGTGATTAAATTAGCAAATTGAAGAGGCTGGATGTTTCATATTTTGGCAGACCAAGAATCGATTTGGTTGTTAATTAAAGAAACATTAAATGCAAGAATCAAAAGGTTCATATGCGTCTGTGCCTATTATAGCAACCGGCAAAGTAGATCCATGTATTGTTGAGGTTGTACTACTGTGAAAATCGTGGAGTGTTTGCTCCTTATCTGCTTTTGTGATGGAGCTAGGCAAATTCATTTATTTGTATTTTTTAATAAGATTAAGATGCAGAAACTTGGTTTAACTACTGGCTGTTTTCGGGTTGGGTGAGTTTGTTTTCTTTGTGAACTTGGCGTTTTTAAATTGATAAGTGCGTGTGTTCGCATTTCTTTGGTACAGGAGAAGTAATGTGTGTTAAACATCCTCGAGGCCAAAGGAGAGCCAAGAGGTGCACTTGGAGTTTTATGGAGTCACGAAGTGTTGGAGATGAGTAGTAACGGTGGCGCAATCTTTCGTGCTTTATCGTCTGCATTTAAGGTTTGTGAGTTTCTATTATCTGCAATACGGTGTGTCATTATGCATGCTTAAAGTTAAGGGATTGTGAGCGGCATTTCTCAAAAGTACAGAGGTGTCAACTGTTGGATGATATTGCTTCTTTCGCCGCAAAATTCGAACAGTGTTAAGGACGAATCTTGTTTGACCTCCTTCACCTCTTTTTTAAATTTTTGTCTTGCATGGAGGTGGATCCGAGAAAGGCGCTGTAAGCTTTAAATGCGAGTGGAGTTGTTGTGTAGGCACAAAATTTCGACTAAAGCCTATCTGTGTGTTCTATTAATGCTGAAAAATAGTGGTGAGAATTTTCTATTTTAGCTTCTGCAAGCTAGAAAACTTGTGTCTGGGTGTCTGGGTTTTGCCGCGTCTAAGGCTCTAGAAAAGGTGACTCTCAGGCATCGCTTTTTAGACGCAAGTTATTCGCAGAAGGAGACATCGATCGGAATTGATACAGTGCGATATGCTGATGTAAGGGTTTCCGGATTGAGAGAGGAACTGAAATTTCTTTCCTTGGTCAGTGCAGTTGATGGTCAAGGAAAGAGGAACACTGTGTACAAAATAAGGAAGTCATAACTGAGATTGAGCCAGTAATTGTTGAAGAACAGTCAAGCTCTCCCTTTAACGCTGTCGTCCGGCATTAAGTTATTGAGGCTGCATAAGCTTTAGCAAGTTTTATTTGAGGCTGAGACTCGTTCATTTAGGTTAGTGGAGGGCCAAGCTTCTATTTGTGGGCTTGGTAATGCATTTTGATTGGAGGTAGTTTGTTATGTTATAACTGTTTTCTAAGAATCTTATGGAAGTTATAATTTTAGATGATTTCCAGTGTAATGATAGCATAGATGTGAGTAGATGTTAAAAAAGTATATTAAGTTTTACGCTGTTTTAGACAAAATTTGTTTGCCTTGAATAATTTATAAATGGTTTGCATTTACAATTTATTTAAATGAATAACTCTTAGGCACGTGTTTTTGGGCTTGAGTTCTGAAGCAATTGAAGGCTAGGGCTTGATGAGTGCCCAAGACCTCAGCTTGGGCTTTCTTATTCATCACTCTAGATTGCAGATTACAGCTGTGGTAGGTATTGAATTTATTGACGTATTTTGTCGCTACAGATTTATCTTTTTTTGGTTTGCGTTGATTTTTATGGCTTGCAAATTGTTTATTGGCTTCTATTGAGTTACTAAGATAAAGTGTTCTAGTTGAATTTATCTATGTGCCTAAGTGAGTTGGTTGGATATGCACTTGGTCAAGGTAGTGCGCGGAATGGTGCCCATGGAACCTTTGCTGTAAAATCTTTTTATCTGATTTTCTTGCGCCTTTTTTGTTTGTTTATTCTTTTATCTTTGTTGTTTCTTCTCACTTGCGGCAATTGTCTAAGCGCCAACTCGACGCCTGTGAAATGGCCAGGAACCAAATTTAGATTGAGATTCATGGATGCCACTGTTAGAGATGATGGTGCCTTCCTCGCATCAGAAAAGCTTGGCTATTAATGCCGTACAGATTTGATGGCTATGTCAAGGAGCCACGTCATATTCATGGCCTAGTTGTTTTGGGTATACTCTTTGTTTGGGCAGTGAGCTGGACCTTCATGGTATTCGCTCTAGCTGTTTTTGATGTTTTTTTTTGTAGAGCTTGTTAGTGCCTCAGGTTCTGTTGTTTTTCCAGGTTTGGGTTAAGGGGCTTGCTTTCCTATCCAGCCATCATAGAGCTGGTAAAAAAATTGCCTTTGTGTGCAAGTAGGCAGGGTTACCATGGTCACAGAACTTTTTGGGCACCTAGTAGCGCGTGTTTGGAGACTGCTGATGATCTGGAAAGTCCCTGAAGGATGAAAGCTCATGAGTTAGGGCTGCTTGTTCCTGCATGGATATTGTTCATAGGTAGATAAGTTGCTGTGAACATTAAAGAATGGCTTTTGAATAGTTTAAATCCTGATTGTAGTTTAGGGAATTTGGATTGATCACATTGCAGACTGGTCTCTTGTTCTTTCTTTTTTTTGGATTCGGCGCTGAGTATAAGACTTTTGGGGCAGGAAAATGTTAAACGGCAATTCTCTGTGGGCTTCTTTCTTTCTCCCTTACCCCTTTCCCGTTTTTTTTTTTTTTTTTTTCCACCTGGGCAATTGTCTAGTGCTCGAACTCCGCAAGTAGGTAGAGTGGGTCCAAGAATGTTCAAATTTTGTATGTGCTGTACGTAAACACTTGTGAAGTAGAGCAGAAATAGGCCTGAGCAGGTTTGCCCGATCTGAGTCTTGTGTTTGGTTGACCAAAGTATTCTTTCAATCCAGCATAATATGGCTGGCCCCCCCCCAGAAACCTTGGAAGTGTCCAGGCAGGAGAGTGTCCTAGTTACAGAATAAATTGAATTCTTCCAATCATCTAAGACTAATAACAGTAGTTACCTTGGTTATCTCGACTGGCTGATGCCTAAAAAGAATTTTGTATGGCTTAGCAAAGATACCGTCTTCTGGCATGTTGTTTCGAGTGATGCCAGAGTGTTCCTCTCTTCCTTGATTTTCTGTGTTAGCCGTCAGGCTCCTACTGTTGATCTTTTGTTGCGAGTCTTAGCTGAATTTTACTAGCCGTCCTATATTTCAGTAATGTTCCCAATTAATGGTTTTGCCCTTAACATTCGAAGGCCATGCATCAAAGATAAGTGAAGCATTGGATGGGCTGAACATGTGTTTGAATGGTACTGAATGGTGCCAGCCTAACTTTTGCACGTCTGGGATCTCGGGAGGTGCGATCGATTGGAGTGTGGGACTCTCTCGCCTTTTCAAAAAGCGTATGGAAGCGTGGGAAGTAACGTAGACGATCTGAAGCTTGAGAAATAAGTTTATTGCGTAATAGTTTGGGCAGTGTTTGCGTTGTCCCTTTTATCGGCTGTATTCATTGAGTACCGGAAATCTTGCCTTATTGATTCTAGGTACTGGAAGGTTAATCCTTCTTCCAATGCAAGATGGTGGTTGGATTGAGTACAGAGTGTTGATGTTCAGATTTGATGGTGTGACGTTGCAAGATGGTGATGTTACACTCAGCATGGATTGGCAAAGGTATCATTTAAGGTGGCTTTGGAAGAATTTTCGTGTTTTGCTTGATGAAGTATAATGTTCTTCTTTACTTCTAAACAGTTTTAGCTTGTAAAAGGCTTTCATGTGACCTGATTTGTCAGATAGAAACAGCAGAAACGGCGATCTTTTTTCTCTCTTTGAAGCTTGGATTCCTTTTGTTAAATTCGAAGCAAAACCTTATTTGGAAGCACTATTGGTGGGTTTTACGAGGTGCTTTGACAGTTGAGCCGCTAGTTGAAGATTGAACAATGGCCGAACTTAATGCATGTTCTTCTTTTTTTTTTTTTTGTGTTGACTTGTGCTTGTGGCGGAGGCATGCTCCTGTCTCGTTCTCCGCTGGACAAAGAGATTCGTTGTGAGTTCGTGTAAGGTATGCTTTTACTGGCAATTACAATGAGTACTTTGGATTTGCAACTGATGTAGGAATGCTGTGACCGTACCTTGATGGCTTGTGAATGAATATGATTCATGGTCTCTTCGCCCAGAGGGGCCTGTCAGCTGATTGGTTGAAGATGTAATGTTAATCCATCTTTGGAGGTAGTCATTAAAGGACTCTGCTTGATGCTGAGTGGCAAATGTCTTTTTCACTTTACTGTAAAGTTGGTTGGCTTATAATGAATAATTCGCTTTCTTTGCGAGGTTAGTGGAATGGCGCAACATTTTGGCATTCCAGTTGAAGATGGTGGTGGGTTGGTTTTTTTTTTTTTTTTTGACTTGTGCTTTGGCGACATCTCTGTCTCTTTCCCTGACAAAAATTCTTGTGAGTTCTGTAGGTATCTTTTACTGGCAATTACAATGAGTACTTTGGATTTGCAACTGATGTAGATGCTGTGACCTACTTGATGCTTGTGAATGATATGATTCATGGTCTCTTCCCAGAGGCTGTCACTATTGGTGAAGATGTATGTTAATCCCATCTTTGGAGGAGTCATTAAAGGACTCTGCTTGATCTGATGCAAATTCTTTTTCACTTTACTTAATTGTTGCTTATAATGATAATTCCTTTCTTTGCAGGTTAGTGGAATGCCAACATTTTGCATTCCAGTTGAAGATGGTGGTGTTGGATTTGATTACCGTCTCCACATGGCCATTGCTGATAAATGGATTGAGATTCTCCAGTATGTTTTCATCAAAACCTTTAGGACTTCGTTTAACTACCTTTATTTGATGTTAGTTTTAAGATGGAAGACCAAATCTAACATATTTGTTGCTTTGCATTGATACTGGCTGTAGGAAGAGAGATGAAGACTGGAGAATGGGTGACATTGTACACACGCTGACCAACAGAAGGTGGTTGGAAAAGTGTGTTGCTTATGCTGAAAGTCATGACCAAGCTCTCGTTGGTGATAAAACTATCGCATTTTGGTTGATGGACAAGGTCATATAATTTCTTGCTCATTGATATTGCGCACATCACTGAACCTGAAGAGTATGCACACAAAAACAATTCAAAAGTTGAAGTGTCAATATGCTTTATTGTTCTAAGGATGGGATTCAATTTGCATTTCTGTGGTAATTACTTTATGAACATATTCTTGCTGGAGAAAGATTGAAAAATAGAGTATAGCATTACCTATGAGTTTCATTCTTTATAATGTTTTAGGCTGTTCGAGTTTAGGCACCAGTGCATTGTCTACCTGTAAATAGTTCTTTTCCTTTCCATTTTGTAAACATAGCTCAGAAAATCAGTTGGATTGCTTTGTCACTCTAACTTTAAACATTAAATTGATTTACTTATTTTTTGACCATGACATGTTTGGAGTCAAACAAATAGCACCGTGTAAGAGCTTCCAAAGAAAACGAGACAGAAGCATACGTTAGTAGTTACTGTCATCCAATTTATCCTATTCACCTTAGGAAAACTTTCTCAGGATATGTACGACTTCATGGCTCTCGACAGACCATCTACCCCTCTTATAGATCGTGGAATAGCATTGCACAAAATGATCAGGCTTATTACCATGGGATTGGGCGGAGAAGGATATTTGAATTTTATGGGAAATGAATTTGGGCATCCTGGTAAGATTGCTTAATTCAGTTAAACTGGTTATTAATTGTGAGTGTCCTTTGGCTTATTGTTATTTGATGAACTGATATTCATCCATGATTCATGTATATAGTTTTTTATTTCTTTATTTTTCCTTTGATTAGAGTGGATTGATTTCCCAAGAGGCGAACAACAGCTTCCCAGCGGCAAAGTAATTCCAGGGAACAATCACAGTTATGATAAGTGCCGACGTAGATTTGATTTAGTAAGTTGTTTTTTTTTTTTTTTCCTGATTTTATAGCTCATTTTTATTAGCCAATTTCTTTAGTTTCATTGATGATTTCATCGTGTCGCTTAGCATTGGTATTAACAACTGATCAGTAACATGATGGAGCAACTTCTTCTATATCAAGACATAGGCAAATTTCTACTGGTTGGGTCTGGATTCTCTGTTGATCCTTGATCTATTGGAGAGTAATAATATAGGTATTTGTGCTGAAAAGTAAATAGCCAAGCAGGAGCATAAACAAATCACCTTTACTAAGGACTCAATGATGTAGCTTTACGATGCAATAAATGACGGACCAGCCATAATTTAGAGGCTTAATCTGAGGCATATTAATTAAGACTTCCTTAACCTTTTTCTAATTATTCTAAAGGAGAAATAACCAAAACCAATCCATATTAAACTGAAACCACTGGATTTGAAGACATTTTTTTCTATTTTTTTTAGAAACTGAATTTTCAACTAGGTTGCAGTTTTCCATGTTTTAGCAACCTCATCAACTGAACCAATCAAATACCACCTATGTGTTATTGTTCAGTTTGCTCAATTTCGTTTCCATAAAGAAGGGTACTTGCCTTTGCATAACAACCTTCATAAAAGGGAAAAGAATCTTCCTGTTTTATGTTTCCCCTTAGGGCTTCGTCAATTCATAGAAAATATTGAAAGAAGTTAGAAATAGTATGGACTAGGAGGATTTAGAATTGGCTGATCATGCGACTTTGTATGCTGTGTTACTCAGAGTTGGGTAGGCGAAAAAAGCTTATACATGACATAAGTATGTAGCCTGCTTTTGGACTGTAAATAACTAAATGTGACTTGGTTAGATGTAATAACTCAGTTTTATTTTGGTTCCATTTTCTTTTTCTTCTATTGCCAGGTTTTCCTTTTTGATTTAGAACATGATTTGGATTCTTGAACCAAGCAAAACTTTCTAACTGATTTTTCTTAACATTCTGAAGTTCGATTATTAGGATACTATTGTGCACCTCTCTCTCTGTGCATGTGTTATCAATTTTATTGTTGTATACATCGCCATAGAAGAAAAAGAAAGAGGTCACAATTCATTTGAATTAATTTACTCTGGCACATTGTGATCGTTAATACCTTTTGAGGATCTTCTTACAGTTATACTGCTTTTGTGCAAGACTATCTATATGCTGGCCTCTGAAAACATTTTTCAAGAATTACCTAACCAGCAGATTCAATAAAGCATCGCTGGCGTAACTTGTTAAAGATATATGCTTGTTTAAGCATGTGAATATCTTACCGTTTTGAGTTTCAAGGACATTGTGGTCATGTATGACTTTTGCATTGTTATAAATGTCTCTTTGTTGAAGATCATGTCTGTTGCTAATGGATGCTCACCAATATGACCTGGCAACTATAAATCTATGATTGTTTAAGATGGTTGAGATCTTTATCTGTTTAATGTTTCTACCAAGTCATAGGGAGAATATGCCAACAAGATGATTAAAAAATTGGAAAAAGACATAATTTTAGCCACATAAAGAACTTTGTCCTGCTCCTTATTAGTAAGTTTGCCTTGTGTCTTCTGATGCAGTAATCACCTTTGTTCGGTTCTTTTCCATCATCTTATTACTGTTTCAACTCACCTTTGTGCCTTATGAAAGTAGGTGTTCCAGGATAGGTTGTAGATAAATTTTGATGTGTCCAATTCATTTTTGGTGTGCATGCACAGGGGGATGCAAAGTATCTAAGGTATCATGGAATGCAAGAATTCGATCGGGCAATGCAGCATGTTGAAGCAGCCTATGGTGTAAGTTCCAACCATACCATTTGTTTGGTGTCAATTTGGTGGCTGTTGTCCAGAATTCACAGATTATCCATTTGTTTGTGATTATTCTGCGTACACTGCTAAAAGAATTAGAATCACTAGATACTTTTTTCACACAAAATGCTGGTATTGGTAGAATAGGCAGTCTATCTCTGCTAGACACTCATTTAATCATCCCCTCCTTACACTACAACGGGATACCATAAGCACATTATCATCAGTCACAACTCAACATGTTAGAAGGCCATTGTGATTTACACTATACCTTGTGGTTTAAAATTTCCATGACAGTTTGCAAAAAATAAAATAACTAGGTAAACATTTAAGAGAAGGCATTAAATTGTTTGAAATGGATCCCACAATGTCATAGATAGTGGCTGGATGTGACATCGTCCCTAGTAACTATTATTTACTATTGTTGCTGAAATTTTTTGAGTAAGAAATTTTACGAGATAAGTTTGTTTCTATGCTTCCTAAATGTCCCTATTTTACGTATTTTCCATTAAGTTATTAACCTAGATATCTCATTAAGCATAATGGTAACCTTCATCTACTGATTTTATCTGACATTATTAGCTGTTATTAATTTCACGTTGTTGAGAACTTCAAAATTATAGCTAAAGGAGTACAGAGAAAACTGAGATAATAAATTTAGATTGCTGAAGTATTGCAGAGCAGTAAAATTGTTATGACCTTAAGAGAATTATACCTCAAAAGATAGCTATTGAGGTTGGAGACAGCCTGAGTTCATACTTACAATGTGAGATCCAAGATAAGTCTCATACCTTGTCTTGCAACTAGCATCCTGACATCCCTTCACACTCCACAATCTTAGCTTCGTGCGAGGGTGGTTGTATGCTATGTCTTTTCCTAGCCCCGGGCGAACATTGCAATATCAGCGTCACCATCTGCGCCACTTTATTGTAAATGGGAGAACCGGTAATTGGCTATGATATTAATTGTTATGGACGTGGGAGCGCCATACCTCAAAAGCTAGTTGTTGAGGTTGGAGAGTCCAAGTTCATATAAACCTTTTACATTGAAATCCTATACTTCCAATATGGGACTTAAGACAAGTCTCATAAATTGTCTTGCAACTAGTATCCTAACAGAAATATAGTAGACGTTGAAGATTGTCATATAATTTTTTTATGGTCCCATATTATCTATTACTAAAAAGCTTGAATATCATACTTTGTCAATGTTTAATGTGGACATTGGAAGAAAATCATTTGATGTGTTTCTTCATTGAGCTTATATAAAACCTATGCTCGTTTCGGATTGTTCCTTTTTTTTATTTTTTATTTTTGAAAATGGAATGAATATAAGGCAACTGTTGATGCAGTTCATGACTTCTGAGCACCAATTTATATCTCGAAAAGATGAAGGAGATCGGATCATTGTCTTTGAGAGGGGAAACCTCGTTTTTGTGTTCAATTTTCATTGGTCTAACAGCTATTCGGACTATCGAATTGGTTGCGTAAAGCCAGGAAAGTACAAGGTATGGTCTTTTTATCTTTCTTCAGTGGTCATATATATAAAAAAAATCACTTGTTTTAATTATGGGCTCTGCATATGTCATGCTTTGGATGATTAATCTTGTGTGATCTGTGATGAGCGACTCATTATTGATCTTGTTTTAATCCAAGGTTGCTAAATTTTTCATATTATAAGCCAAATGTTTTCCAATTTTATGCTTAGACCATGTTGTTACTCTTTCAGATTGTCTTGGATTCTGATGATACCTTGTTTGGAGGCTTCAGCAGGCTTAATCACAATGCTGAGTACTTCACTTTTGTAAGAAAATTCACCTGAAACCTAGATTTTACTTTCCTACTCCAACTCTCCCCTTATAAACATAAAATAAAATGGGTTTTGAATTTGTATATTTAATTTTGCAGGAAGGATGGTATGATAACCGGCCCCGATCCTTCATGGTGTATGCACCAAGCAGAACAGCAGTAGTCTATGCTTTAGTGGAGGATGAAGAGAAACCAACCATCACCGTCGATAGCTAAGATAAAGGATCTTACAACAGGTTCCTCTGAAGCAGGAATAACATTATTGATCTACAGGAATGACAATCACTTGGGCCTACAATCGATGTCACAATCCTTGCGCTTTTTCGCTCAGCACTTTCACCAGCCAAGTCAGCCCAGTTGAAACTGAAAAGGGAAAGAGAAAGATGTTTGCCAGATCGCAGAACCATGCAAATATCCTAGCCAGCTCGAACTTTTAAATCATACAAGCAAAGTTTCCTGTGGCAAAACCATTACTGTGTAAATGCTTTATTTAGCGTTTAGCAGAGCTAAGTTATGTTTATACACGTCCAGATAAGCAGATAAGTTTTTGTGTATAGGCGGTACAAGGAAAACTGCCGTGACAACTGGTGGTGCTTTTTTAATAAGTTTCAAAATCTCTAGACTATATATTTTTGTCAAGTTAGGCTGTACCATGGTGGAGCCACTATCTGCAAGAACCAAAATGTCAGTTTCAGGCTTACCTTCTTGGGCTGTGAAGGAAAAAAGAGCAGCACCGTACAAATTATGAAACAAATAAAACATTCATTGCACTTGTCCAATTAAAAGAATCGAAAACAACCATGCAAATCTTACAAATTAGAATTATGACTGGAGGGGTGTCTTAATAGTTTTAGCACCCAACAACACGCATGAAAACAAACCCATTATTTATGTATATACAAAACAAAAACCATGATTAAGAGCTAACAAAGGTAGTTTCAGAGATAGAGCCGCGAGTCAAGTGGTGCAGAACACTAGTTGGTGATGAATTGGTGGAAGATCTGAGTGCCTCAGCAAGAGGTCCTCCCATGGATGCCATATGGTTCGTGCCCCAAGTACCTGTCCAATTTACTTGCAGTTGGTCCCTTTCATTGCCTCTTGTGCCTGATGGTTCCTCTCCATTCCCAGTGGATAGCTTCAAAGACACATCCGAAGATGAGTTTCCGGGCATTGAAATTGTAAGGCAAGTTGCAGAATTCATTGAACTAGAATTGCTTCTAGCATTATCTGGTTCTTGGTGCGAGCGCGGCCAATCATCAAAAAAATGCCTTAAAATGTGACCGTCATTTCTGTTAGTGACCTCAATTTGAGTTCCGAGGAGACCTTTGATTTCAGGTTTGGAATCTGAGCAACTGTAAAGGAACAAAAGAATATGGGCAACAAGAGTTGAAAAGATGAAGCAAAGAACAAAACAAAGGAAAGTGCCTAACCTAAAATTAAAAGGAAAAAGAAATGCACATGCAAAAGAAAACATTATCTTCAAAAGATGTGGTTAGGGTTTACTTTGTAAAGAATCTAAAGCACTTCCCCCAGATATGAGACACATTTATGTTTACTGTTCAGACCTCTAACATGGTCCTACCAGTGGCAGCATATATCTTACTATATATATTCTAACACAGTGAGATTCCCTCGTGTCCCCAATTTGAAAGCTATGTTCCATCACATTATCGGAACCCCAAAAATTCAGTTTAGTAAAACTAAGCCCTAAAAATCCCATTTGACTCGTATTTAGCGACTCATAATGCAATAAAAATATCCCATTTTTTTTAATAATAAAAATGCAGGTAGGCATCAAGATTTACCCATTATTGAGGTGGAGGAGATCAGAGGAAGGCGACTGGCCAGAAAAAGAAAACATTGTCTCATTAGTCACCGCTCCTAAGGGTGGTGCAACAATGGGTGAAGCGCTGTTAAAACCAGCAGCAGCATTGGCTGCACCACCCGTAGAGCCGACACCGCTGCCACCACCAGCAGTAGCAGTAGTTGTGGTGGTAGTAGTGGAGGAGGTAGGTGTGGGAATTTCCACAGGCTTTCTTGAACGATTGCGGCCGCGATGCACGTGGCGCTCGCAATATTTTTGGCCGGCCACCACGTCCCTCGAGCACCGCCATTTCTTTCCATCTGTTCTCCGGCACCGGCCTGGCTCCGGATCCATTGCTGCTCTTCCCCAATACCCTGTTTGCAACACTGATAAAACAAGATGATAACCCAAATCCCATATCTATAACAAATCAAGAAAAACATAAACAGCAAGATTTTGTTTTACCAAGATCAAGAAAACCAAATAAAATACATTTACCAAGAAAAGCATGAACAAGCAAAGGAACGAATATCAAAGAAAACAGTTTTACTCTTTAATCTTGAAAACGAAGAAAATAATTATTAAATAGCATATATTATATGTAATAGCAAAAACTTACAAGCAGGTTGATAATAAGAGTAATGTTGAAGTGGGTGGTGAAGGAAATATGGAGAGTGAATAATGCTTTTCTTGATTGGTTGAAGGAGCTCAGGAGGAACTGTAGCACCAGCTAACATATATCTATAGATCAAAGCTTGAAGCTCTAGTTCTTGCCATTGAGCCAAGCTAAAGAAACTCCCTCCCATACCTAAATTAAATCAAAAAAACAAAAACAAAAAAAGAAAAAAGTGTAGTCAAGTAACTTTCTATAGGAAGAAACTGAAAAACTTTGTTAGATGAGAAGGAAAGATTGCAAGAAAAAGGAAAGAGAGGGTTTTAATTTATTTACTGGGAAATCTGGTGGCTGGATCTGAAAGAGCTGACAAGTTACTGATTTTACTGTTGGGTTCAGGTACAAACAAAGAAAGAGGAGCAGCAATAGAAGAGGCAGATGGGTTTTGTTGTTGTTGTTGTGGTGGCGGTTGTTTTTGGGTATCCAAGAGGAGTTTTGGCATCTTGACAGAAGGTTGTTGTTGTTCGCGTTCTTGTTGTTCTTCTGACGCATGCTGGTTTCTCCATTGCTTCAGAGAGAAGTCCATAGAAGAGAGAGAGAGAGATTTGTTTAATGAGTTTTTGGTTATTTATGAGTTTGGTTGAATTATTAAGTGAAACAGAAAGTTATTGCAAAAGCTTTTGCAGGTTGCCGTGTAAGTTCCTTTATATGTTTGGCAGATACTTGAGACTGTACCACACACCACAATTAAATGAAAAAAAAAAAAATAAAACAGAGAGAGAGAGAGAGAGATCTGACGAAGAAAGGCTGCAAAGTTTGTTTATAGCCAGTGGAGAAGCCTTGGTAGCACTTGAGAAAAAGACAGTCAGACAAGACAGTTGAGAGAAAAAGAGACTGAAAATATAATAAAGAAATAATTTTTAAAAGATTAGAGATACATATGGAGAGAAGAAATAACCTGCGTCTCTCTCTCACTCACTATTGTGCTTTGGGAAAAGCACAGTACAGAGAGAAAGAGGTGTTTGTTTGTGTGAATAAAAAAAGAAAGCTTTGCATTTTCTTTAAGGTCAACTGAAAACCATATACTCAATTTTAATACTACTTTTTATGATTTTGGCAAATTTTTTTCAATTTTATTGATTATTATTTATACTTTATTTTTCATAACCATGGTAGTCTTTGTGTGAATACAATCCAAATTCAGCAAACTTAAAAACGTTGAAACCGAGAGTATAAGCCCCACACATTACACGTTTGGGTTTCCTGAGTTTTCAAATTTAACTTGGAATATATAAATTTACCTTCCAATTTTATTATTATAACTTTATAGGATCTCCAATTTTTATTTTAACTCATTAAATATTTCAATTTATAAAATTATATCAGTTAAACTCTTCAACTTGTATAATTATTTTATTGAACACTTTGACTTATAAAATTAGATTAATTACATACCTATTAAATAATTGAAATATATGAAAATTAATATTTCAAAAGTTATGCTAATTACACATCAAATTAATATTTTACATATAAAAGAAAGAAATACTAAAAACTATTACTATTAGTGTGGAAAAGTATATAATGTTACCAAAGTTTGTAAATTTGCATGATAAGTCATTCACAAAATGAATTTATGTATTTACCCAAAATTTAACTGTGAAAAAGTTTTCTTGATTATGGGTCGAATACATAAATTCACTTCTGAATTTTATAACTTTAACTTTGTGGCACCTTAAACTTATGAATGATATATTATGCACTTAAACTTGTAAATTTTGATAACTTTTTACATTCATACCATCAACAATAATTTTAAAGGTTTTTAGCCTTTAAATGCAAAATATTCATTTGATGTTTAGTTAGTGTAATTTTTGCAACGATAATTTTCACATTTTTCAATTATTTCTTAAGTGTTTAATTGATCTAGTTTTGTAAGTTGAAATATTTAATAAAATGATTTTGCAAGTTAAAATGTTTAATATGTATCATTTTATAAGTCACAGCATTTGATAAGTCAAAGCAAAAATAAAAGATGTCATAAGGTTAAAATAACATAGTTCATGGTCTATAATTATATATTCGGTCGTTGATTATGAAAAGGATTATATTTGTCCAAACTGTCGATATACTCATGAACCAAACCAATTAAAATAAAAAATTTTTAAAAAATATTCTCACTTTATTTTTTCGTTTAATGGTAAAAAATACGCTTTTCAATAAAAAATTATTTTTTCTTAATTTAATCTATGGATAGGCTAACAGAATGAGTTTGGGCAAGTCAATCTCGTAACAAAGCAAATAATATTTTTGGTTGAATACATAAATTTACATTTCAATTTAGCAACTTTAAACTTGTAGCGTACTAACCTTTATGAATGAGCTATTGTATATTTAAATTTATAAATTTTAATAATATTGCACACCTTATAAACTAATAGTAATAATTTTTAGGGCTTTTGACCTTTATATTCAAAATGTCAATTTGATATATAGTTCACGTGACTTTTGAAATAATATCTTTACATTTTTCAACTATTTAATAGGTGTTTAATTGATTTAATTTTGCAAGTTGTAATGCTTAATAAAATGATTTTGAAAGTTTAAATATTTAATAGATTGCTGCAATAATATGATTAGTTAGGTTGTTTAGTTAGGGGTTAAGCCTAGTAGAAAATTGCTTAAGGTTAATCACTGTTTGATACATGTTCAAGAATATTTGCTTGTAGATTCTGCTAGAAATGGTGATCTTGGTCCCAGGTTCAAATCTTGATAATGTAATATTTAATTTGAATTTGTATTAAAAAAATATACTTTGATTTCTATTTTCACCAATACAATTTATACTTTCTTCTAGATTTTTTCTCTCCTTTTTTTTTTTTTTTTTTTTGAAAAGAAATAATATCTTTACACAATTTTCAACCTATTTAATAGGTGTTTAATTGATTAATTTTGCAAGTTGTAAGCTTAATAAAAATTGATTTTGAAAGTTAAATATTTAAAGATTGCTGCAATAAAAATGATTAGTTAGGGTTGTTTAGTTAGGTTAAGACCTAGTGGATAGAAATTGCTTAAGGTTAAGTCACTGTGAACATTCAAGAATAAATTTGCTTGTAGATCTCCTAAGAAATGTGATCTTGTCCCAGGTTCAAAATCTTGATAATGGGTAAATATTTAATTTGAATTTGTTTATAAAAAATATAGCTGATTTCTATTCAACCAAATACAATTTATACTTTCTTCTTAATTTTTTCTCATCCTTTTTTTTTTTTTTTTCCTTAGCTTGTAGTAATAAGCCTGTAGAGTATTATTAAATTTAAAAATTGACAAAAATATCTGTCATGCTGAATAGCATTCGTGCAACGCTCCCTTTATTCTGAAGGCTGATTAAAGAGGGGGTGTTGGACATCGATCTCTATTTGAAATGACACGCATGCTTTTGGATCATGGATAATCCCAAAAAATATCACTCCCATGCGGCAATTTGTTCTTTATTATGTTTTTCATTCCCCATTACAGAGATGGATTGTTCTGTTTTTTTTTTTTTTTTTTTTTTTCCTTAGCTTGTAGCTTTATAGCTGTAAGTATTATTAAATTTATAAATTGACAAAATATCTGTCATCTGGAGTAGCATTCGTGCAACGCTTCCCCTTATTTCTGAAGGCTTGATTAAGAGAGTGGGTGTTGGTGACTCGATCTCTATTTGGAATGACGCATGGCTTTTGGATCATGATAATCCCAAAATATCAACTCCCATGCCTGGCAATTGTTCTTTTTATTATGTTCATTCCCTCATTACAGATGATGGTTGTTTCTGGAGGGTTGATATCTTACATGCCTTATTTTCAGAGAGGGATAGAAAATGCATTCTTCAAATCCCCTTGAGTCCCTCTCGTCGTGAAGATGACTGGTTGTGGCGAGAGGAGAAGACTGGCCAATCCTCAGTTAGAAGTGCTTATAAGTTGCTTATGCGTGATTTCCTTTCTCTTACATCTGCTGACATGGGACGCTTCTGGTCCTTGCTGTGGAAACTAAAACTTCCAGCAAAGGTTAAAAATTATTGGGTGTATCCCAGTCCGAACTAGACTGGCTTCGAGGGGTTTGGAAATAGATATAATCTGTCCAATCTGTGGAAATGCTAATGAAACCTTACTGCATCTGTTTGTTGATTGTGTGTTTGCGAGAGAATGTTGGAACCGGGTTCTTGTTGGTGTTATTGATATATATGAGCTGCAGTTGGACTTTACCATGAATGAGTTCCTGTCAAATGTGTTTAATGTCTTTTCGCTTTCAGACACTCATAATTTCTGCTTTGTTATTTGGGTGATATGGAAGTTCAGGAATTCTGTGGTTTGGCAGCAAAACAACTCATCTGCTGCACAAGATTTAGGAGCAGGATTTGAATGGTTCCATTCTTGGCAGTATGCCCAAGTCCAGAAGTCGGTCCCTGATGCTTCTGTCAGTTCTGAGTTTGTGATATGGCAAAGGCCTGCTGTGGGATTTGTAAAGTGTAATACAGATGCATTGTTCAGACCACAGAATGAGTTTGTAGGTGCAGGTTGGGTGCTAAGGGATTCTTAGGGTGGGATAATTACTGCATGTCAAAAGGCAGTCCTTAGAGCTCATGATCCGCAGACAGCAGAGGCTCTCTCCTTTAGAGAAGCAATCAGTTGGGTCAAAAGAAAAGGTTTGAGCTGTGTCCTCTTTGAATATGACTCTCTCTCATTAGTTCAAACTTTAAAACGTCGTGTTCTGGACAAATCTTATTTTAGCAGTATTTAGCAGATTGTAAGCTGCTTTTTAAAGAACTTTTGCAATGTTCTTTTAGTTACGTTAAACGGTCAGTGAATTAAACTATATTTGGGATCGACAAGTGTGGGTAGTCCTCCTTCGCCACTCCACTAGTTATAGTCAGGATAACCTTTCTTTGAAGCACTTGGAATCCCGCATTTGTTAGCGACTAATGTCTGTTCTATGTCTGACTATGAGGAGTGGGGTCATGTCCCTCCTTCCCTTATTTCTGATGCTTTGCATTTTGATCTTTGTCAATGAACATTCCAGTATGTTTCCCTCCAAAAAAAAAAAAAAAAAAAAAAAAAAACCAGTTATGTTTCCCCTCCAAAAAAAAAAAAAAAAAAAAAACTTTAATCAGAAATTAAAACTTGTTTAAAATTTTTTCTTACCAACAGTATCTTCAATAAACCTAAAAAATATATTTATTTTTGTGGAAATATATGTAGCGGTGTGGTTTATATATCATAACACAAATAGAGTATAATGTAGAAATATTCTATCTTCAAATAATAATATAAACGATAATTAATATTATGTCATTATATTAATATGTATAATCTATTAATTATATTTGCAAGTATAATGTTTATTTTAATTGTTTGAATATTAATATAATGTAATAAAAAATACTGTTATTTAAAAAAAATCAATTCGCCAACTTATTTTAAATGAAAAAAAAAAAAAAAAAAAAAAAAAAAACTTTAATCAAGAAAAATTAAAACTTGTTAAAATTTTTTCTTCCACAGTATCTTCATAAACCTAAAAATATATTTATTTTTGTGGAAATATATGTATGGGTGTGTTTATATATCAATACACAAATAGATATATGTAGAAATATTCTATCTTCAATAATAATATAAAATAATTATATTATGTCATTATATTAATATGTATAATTATTAATTATTTGCAAGTATTATGTTTATTTTATTGTTTGAATATAATATAATGTAATAAAAATACTTTTTTAAAAAAATCAATTCGCAACTTATTTTAAATTTTCATCTAAGGTAAGTATGTATAAAATATTAACAATCTTTTTTGGTCTTATCTATAAATTATTTTGTGCCCAATTAAATATAATATTTATATTATTTTATTATATTTTATGTCTATTTTTTTATTTTGTATTGTATAAATTTTGTCATATATCTAAGTTAGGAGTTATACCCTTATTGAACAATTTTGTTCTGTCTTAATTAGAAATTATAATGATATTGAAGGAGTTTTGTCATACATTTACTTTATTTTGTTGGAGTTTTACTTACTTTCAATATTAAGAATTTTTTTTATTTTCTTTATCAAGGATTTCATTATAAAGGGTACGTTGAACACTTATTATTTGACTTATTATTATTGATTAACATTGATTTATTAATTTTAATTTTATTAATTGTATTTAATATTAATATTATTCTTCATGTTCTCAATATCATTCATTACCAATTGTATTAAAATTTTAAATTCTCTGAATTTTACTTTATAATTATGTATAAAATATTATACTTTAAGTCTAATCATTGTTTTATATTATATATTTAATTTTTAATTTGTTCCCACCCTTAGAAGTTAGTTTAACTTTATTTTTCTATAATTATAATTGTTTATTTTTAATAGAAAATCATTACCATTATTTTTATGGTGAGTGAATATTTTCTTATCCTATAATAAAATTAAAAATTTTAATTTTATGAATTCTTTTTTAATTTTTGGATTTATGAATATCTTTATTCAAATTTTCTAGAAAAGAATATAAATATGAAGACAATCGAATTGTAGTAGATATTTGTTGAATTATCAATATTTTTATAATTTTATTTATATATTATTTATTATTGTGCTCAATTATTTTTAAAGGGAATTAAAATAATGATTAATATCATTCATGACAAATAATAAAAAGTTATAAATTAATTAACGAATACCTACAACCAGAACCAACCCATATTTCTAAATACTAAAATTTAGACCTTTTTTCTAGAATTTCTCTCTCAATCTTTTATTTTCTCTTAGCTCATAGTTTACAGCTAAAATTAATATGAGAAAATTTTAAATAATAAAAATATATGCTGCTCTTAGAGAAATTTTCATTTTTTGGACATTTTTTTTTATATATATAGAAAAATATTATATATAGAAAAATATAGTCTAAGTTACTCTAATTGGAAAGTGTGCAAAGTGTGCCAAAATGGAAAAACTAATTTGGCTTGGACTAGTTTTCCTATAACCGTTGTCTGTCACGAGAAAATAGAAAAGTGACATATAATATTTTGATTAGCATTTAATACTCTTCAAAACCCAAAGTTGCATTTGGCACTAAATTTGAAGTTTGGGCTCTATTTATTACAGATGCGCATGGAAATTGATACATGTGATGGTAAATAACTTGGAAACAAAATGAAATTATTGCATAGTAATTTTTTGAAATGGTCTTGGATCAAAGTTGTACCTCAAACATATGAGCACATTTTTAAATTAACAAGAGCACTTTCGATGTTGCTGTCTTTAAATGAGGGCTTGAACTTATTTTTGTATATTAGCAGAAGGGATACTTTCAGTTTTGTTGTATGAAATATGGAATTTTTTCTATTTTGGTATATGAATAAAAAAGTTTACAATTTAGTTAATAAACCATTAATTTTTTAATAATTTAGTGGATTTTGCACATGCGTATAGCCAAAAATCCCAATAGGACAATATGGACCCACATATCCATTTTGGTTTTGATTAATAGGCGCGAAATAGGACATTGTGTTGATTGCTACGTAAATTTGACTAACTAAAGACCCGAAATTACCTAACCCTTTCTTTAAAACTCAATGCCTCACAAACCCAAATGGTAACCCGATCAATTCGACTCCCAAAAAAAATATTCAAATGAAATGCCTTCACAAAAAACTCTGAAAATGGAAATCTATTAATCGATCGATTGTTTCTAAGTTTGAAGGAGCAAATTTGGTAAAAAAGCGATTGCAACTGTGTGGGAAGAATGACGCGGAACCAGAAATAACAAGCAATGAGTTATATCGGTAAACTATATTCTTTCAAGTTTTTTGTTTCATCGTGCATAATTTCTCCTTCATTGATGATTTCTGGGATGTCATTGTTAAAAATTATTTAAAATTTATGCTTTTCCTGACTTATTGAAATTTAGGGTGAAAAAGCTAGGGTCTTGTTTTTTTCATTCTAAGTGTCGCGATTCCCTATTTTCATTATTTGTTTTCGATAGAAAAACCCTTGATAATGATAAGTTGTTATTTTTTGAATATAATAATAGTTTTGGTTTTGATTGGCATCCAATGTCTTATTCTGTAGATGGAAAAACCGATAATTGATGTTGGGGTGTTTGGATAACAAGTGAGAGGGGTATGCAAAAGGAATATGTTAGTGGACAGAAAATGACATGGGAGGTGGATTTTAGTAATTTCAGCTTTGAAAAAATGATGGAGTCTATTTAAGATTTAATGGGTGTAAGGAAGATAGTTGTTATGCACTATATAGCTGTAGATGCATACTAGGCACATGGTTTGAGACTAATTTTGAAGGACTTATTATCCTTTATGCTTGAATTGGTCCAAAGAAAAAGGGTTGAAGTTGTTATTGAGCACAAGTTCTATAAGGATAAAAGGGTAATTTCAACACAGAAGTTATTAGCTAATGTGCGTGATCTAATTGTGTGGGATTTGCCATATATTGGTGAGGGTGTAGGTCATACTGTCAATAACAATAATGATAGTAATGAGGTGGGTGAGGGTGTTAGTGGTGCAAGCTAGGGTTTTGAGGGTTAGATATAGAGGAGGGTGAGGGGGAAGATAATATAGAGGCTGCTGTTGAGGAGGTCGAGGGTGTTAATGGTGTACTGCTATGTAATAGAAAGATACCTACAGAGGAGGGTGGTGAAGAGGTTGACATAGATGTTGTTGAAGCGGGTAGGCAATCACAGGACGAAGATGAAGATATGGTTCAATGTGAGTGGATGTCTGGTGCTGATGAAGAACTACAAGCTGCAAGAGATTCAAGGAGAGACAGAAAAGAAATCACATCCTATTGAGACAGATCTAAACTCAGCAACAAACAATAATAGAGCTGTTGGGAATGAAGCTGCTGTAGAGGAAGATGGTAATGAGACAAACTACTGGAATTAGATGATGAAAACTGGGGCATTGCAAACTCAGATGGCAGTGACTGTAATCATGCAGCAAGAAAAAAAAGAGTAAATACACATCTTTTGACCCAAGTGTAGAGAAGGTAAAATTCATACTGGGATGACATTAAAATTTGGTGATCAGTTTAAAGAGGCTGTCAACACATATGCAATACAAGAAAGGCATGAGGGTGTCCTTAGATGACATATGCTTCAATGGAATCCAGTAGAGAAGATATTATGGTGAAGACATAAAGCCAGAATATACATGTTCCATTTCATTCAAGAATAGGAGATGTACTGTTAAGTGGTTAAAAAAGAATGTTCTCCTTAAATATAAAGTAGTTGAGTATATAACTCTAACTGATTTGAAGAAGCAAGTGAAGGAAGATGTATGTGTTGAAGTGAGCATCACCAAGATGAGGAGGGCTAAAATGAGACATATTGCAATACTCAATGGTGATACTAAAGGAGAATATGCATTGCTGTGGGATTATTTAATAGAGATAGATAGGTCAAATCTAGGCACAACCCTTAGTCTTAGAGTTGATAAACCACTACCTGATGCATTGCCAATACTTGATAAGCTGTATATGTGCTTTGCTGCACTGAGAAAGGGCTTTCTTGCTGGTTTTAAGAGAGTGGTTGGTCTTGATGGGGCTTTCATGAAGGAAAACATAAAAGGGCAAGTTTTAACAACTATTGGTAGAGGTGGTAATAATCAATGTACCTAATTGCATAGGCTGTGGTAAACGTTGAATGCAAGGAGAGTTGGCACTAGTTCATTAACTTATTGAAAAGAGAATTAGGACAGAAGATGGTGAAGGCTGGGTCTTCATTTATGACTAACAGAAGGTAATTCTCTTTAATTGTTGTTTATGTTTTGATTTGCACGGGGTGAAAAATAATAAAATTAACGTGTCATATATGTTGTCTTACAATGGTTTATTGGGTGCAATTTATGAGAAGCTTCCTCTTTGTGAACAAAGATGTTGTGCAAGACATCTTTATGCTAATTGGAGGAAGAATAATAGAGGATCAGAGCTACATGGAGTATTTTGGGCCTGTGAGAAGTCCTATAACATGATAGACTTTAAGTCCAACGTGAATGAGCTGAAGAAAATTTCACCAAAGGTATTTGAGGACATGCTTAACATATACCGGCAACACTGGTGTAAGGCATACTTTAAAACTAAGGTAAAATGTGACATTGTAGATAATAATCTATGTGAGACATTTAATGGTAGGATTATTGAAGCTAGGGAGAAGAACATAATTTCAATGTTAGAAGCTATTAGAATCATGGTTATGATTAGGTTACATCAAAACAGAGACCAATCATTGAAGTGGTTTGGGGATTATGGGAATAGAATAAGGAAAAAAAAATTGCATATTAGCATTGTTGGAGTAGATTATGCACAATGCATTGGGATGGGGCTGAGGGTGGTGAAGTTTTATATAAAGGTGATAAGTATGTTGCGGATTTGAAGAATATGACATGTCCTTGTAGACAATAAGATTTAAGTGGTATCTTATGCCATCATGCATTATGTTTAATTAATCATTTGGATAGAAATCCACTATATTATATTAATGCATTGTACCATAAGGATAATTACTTAGCTGCATACACAACACTTATGAAACCAATGAATAGTCAAAAAATTTTGGAAAAACCCAAAAAAGAAGGACCTTTGCCACCAAAGAATGATAAAAAACCTAGTAGGCCTCGCAAGAAAAGAGCAAAAGAAGATGGTGAAGTGGGTATAAGAAATGGTACTAAACTTTCAAGGAAAGGAAGAATAATAACTTGTCATGCCTGCTTTTAGAAAGGCCATATAGGAAGAGTTGCAAAGGAAAAGGAAGGGATGGTGGTGATCCATTATCAAGTGGAGGCATGGCCTTCATACCTGTCCTAACAGTAGCTATCCCAACAGTAGGCTAGCTAGAAACTTCCAACAGACCACAAAGAAAATCAAGTCTAAATTTTTAAACTTATTCATACCGTTAGAGATTAAAGTAATGACTAAACCTATGCTAATGATTGTTATGTGTGCTTTGAAATTATAGGTAAGAGGCAAAAAAAGGAAGGGGAAGAAAGTAGCAGATGATAGAGCAACTGAAGGACCTCCATGCCCATTTGCAGTACCTACCGTACCAGTAAATGATGAAGATTTACCATTGAGTAGCCTAATTGTTTATTTATCAAGAAAGCCATCCAAAAGGCCTATGCGTGGATTTGGAGTATATACAGGCTTCTTAACTAGATCTGTGACATTGAATGTAAATATATACCTATTTATGAATGGAACTGAGGTTTTTGGACAAATGTGTTTGATGAATGAGCTAAACATGGGATTTTTGGGTTTATATCAATGATGGATGAGTCAAACTGAGATGATATGATTTGATGTGTTGCAGCAATGTAAAATTTGAAAGCAATGAGTGAAACTGAGATGCTATGATTCGATGTGTTTGATGAATGTTAAATTAAGTGTTAGTGAAACTGAGATTATATGTTCATGTGTTTGCAGAATGTGAGATTTTAGTGCACTCAGATTATGTTTTCAGGTGTTTGTGTTAAGGCGTTTCATGTATGTGTGTGATTTAAGTATGTGTTGGATGTTGGATGCATGTGAATTTATGTATTTTCTATTAATGCAGCATGAGACAATAAGTGCAAGAAATTTAGATTTTAGTGGGACAATAAGGGTCACCAATCCACCAGAACCAAGCTTTATAATTGACAAATTTGAGGGTTCAAGAAGAAAGGCAACCATTTCATAACATCTCATCATTTGAGGGTAAGGCAAAACAAGAAGAAGAAGGAACATGAGGCAAGAGTAAAGAAATGGGTAAAATTAAGACTTATTGATGAACATGACGTGGGTGAAGCAACTAGAACACAAGAGTCAACTGTCGGGCACATTGGATGACCGTTGTTGAGCAAATGGTTAGATAGGAACACTTTTGGATGTTTATGATAGGCTTTTTGAACACTGTTCGATGCTATGATTTGATTTTGTAAAATAAAATTTTTAGATACTATCATTCTTTATCAAAGGCATATGTGCTACCTTTCAACATATTTGGATGATTATTAATGTAATAAACTTGATTATGCTATATTTTTTAAGCATCAATTTAAGCTAAATTTCAAGTTGTTTTCAATTACCCGTTTCTATGGATGCTTTGTTTTAGTAGAACGATTATTGCCTGTTTGGATTGTTCATAGGTTATAGATTATAACCTTATAGGTTATATTATGAAGAGGCTGTTATTGAAAGATTTTGGCAAAAAAAAAAAAAAAAAAAAAAAAAAATTGGAATGTTTCATTAAACAAGGTTATTAATAAGAAGTTATAACCTTAATAGGTTTTATATTGTATGAAGAGGTGCTGTTATTGAAAGATGTTTTGGCAAAAAAAAATATTAAAAAAAAAAAAAAAAAGAAATAAGGAGGGAATAATATTGCTTCTTATAGATGGTTCACTAACCTTCACTGAAAAAAAAAAAAAAAAAAAAAAAAAAAAAGAGGAGAAAATAGCTTAATGTCACAACTTTATTCAATATAATTTAAGCACAGGTATGGAGAGCTCTAATATTGAGGTTACATAAATAAGGTATTGCATTAATTGAGGCATTTCATAGAAAACATTGAGACATTCACAAAATTTCCAACTTTCATAACAATTTCCTTGATTCAAATCATCCCATTACACATAAAAGCTGGTAAGAAAATGTACCAACACATTAAAGCTGATTTAACAATACATTATAGCTAAGTAAATCATTAAAATAAAAAAAATAAAAAGTTTCCCCAACTTCCATAGATGCAAGAATAGTGCCAACCATTACTTAATCTTCATATGAACTCATTTGAAGAAGATTATCACCACATAAATGAAAAACTAAGCCCATATAATCCCTCCCTTGTTCTCCTTTGAAGCAAATTTGCTTCTAATTCATTAACTTTCCTCAATAAATTGGTAATTATTTGCTTTGAACACTTGCACATCACAAGATCTACTCATTCAAAGAAATCACATCCATGATTCCTCTCAACCTGAAATTGTAACTTGCTCCAGATAGAAATTAATAAGTTTGAGAGAAAAGAGAGAACAAGAAAGGGAATGAAAAACTTACCGATCGAACTTGGCAACAGATGAAGTGCCTCCCTAGATTCCAGTCTGTCCATAAGGTACGAATAGTATATTGTCTTCCACATTCACATAAATCCCCTTCCATCTTCAACGATTGTATTCAAATTTGATGTTGCTCAAGCCTGCTTCTTTCTTTCTAGGGTTTTATTTCATCTCGATCCAACAAAGAGAGAAGGAATTGGTGTGTGAGGCGTTAAGTATTAGAGAAAGGGTTAGGTTAGTAATTTCGGGTCTTTAGTTAGTCAAATCCACATGGCAATCAACATGGTGTCCTATTTGGTGCCTACTAATCAAAACCAAAATGGATATGTGGGCCCATGTCATCTTACTGGGATTTTCGGTTATACACATGTGCAACATCCACTAAATTGTAAACTTTTTCCGTTTATACACCAAAATAGAAAAAATCCCAAAGTTCATACACTAAAATTGCAATTATCCCTTAGCAAAAATGTTCCTTGATTTCCATACAAACGTAACCAATACACTAATAAACCAACTGTTTTTTATTTAATTTGAAACCAAAATCAAATTGAAAGAGGAGTAAACTAGGGCTTACTTCTTTCAAATAGGCACTAATTGCAACCTTTCACTCAAAACCTCCTCAAATTCTTCGCTACCAATTCAACTGCCATTTTCTAACGCTTCATTGACGTTTGATGCTATCTATGGCATCGAAGAAGAAGTTTTCCTCCACAAATCATAAAAGCTTAAAAATGGCTAACAATGGTGATGACTCACAAAGAAGCCCCATTGAAAAAACCCAAAAATCTCGACCCCATATAAGAAAATGACCACAACAACTAAGAGCAAAATGGAAAAAAGGGGCACCCAATTGAAAGGTCGTCCTTAAAATTAAATCATCCCTCTACACCTCCTAAAGAAATTGCCTTGGTAAATAAATTGGCGTCTAAGCGTAAAAAGCTATATGCTCCTAAAATCCACCATATAAAAGGAGGAAGATCATAGCTGAGGACTCGAATCAATAGATTCAGATGAAGAACAACAAGGACAATAAAATTCAGAGGATGTAGGAGAGGTTAATACTTTTCTAGATAGGTATTGGTTCACTTCTAAAACTAGAATGAGTTACTATGAAATTATTATCATGAATGAGAAGTTCATTGTTAAAAAAATGGTAGATGTTGATGAATTGAAGGTGGTTGGTTTAGATTTAGAGTTATATTTTGATCTTCGAATTAAAAAGTTATTGTCTTTAAATGATGATATTTACCTAAGTTAGTCAGATTTTTTTATGCTATTATTCTTGTTGAAGAAAAGAAAACTAGGAATGGGTTGGAAATTAGTCTTATTTTTGTTGTCAAGGGATTGGAGGTCAAAATTACTGAGTCTGTGTGCCCACTTTTGGTTTTGACTCTGTATTGAAGGATTTTGCCATACCAGAATGTATGGATGTTCTTGATTTTGAAACTAATGTTACTTCCATTATTTTAAGAACATAGCAACTAACCAAAGAACCATGATGTTAGATAAGTATAGATTGAGGAAAATTGTATTCACTTGCCTTATGCAAGATTGATTTCAAAATGCACAGTTGAGAGTGGGGTTGACTTGGAGGGAGAGAAAAGAAGAACCCATTAAGTAATCTTACAAAATAAATGCAAGATACTTGAATTTATGCAACATAGTGAGGGTAAGTAGGAAAGGTTGGCGCCTGCAGAAGTATGTGCCTACTGATAATATAATTGAATAAGGAACAAAAGATGAGAATAAAACAATGAAGCAACCATCAGATGCCCTAGAAGGACAACAATGAAAACTGATGCTAGTGATTCATATTTAGAAATTGTCAAGAAAATTAATGAGGTTTGTGTTGTACAGAAGAGTCTAGTTTAGAAGGTTGATGAACTCTATGCAAATAATAAAGAAATTGAAGCACAGATCATTGAAGTTAGGCACTTTATTCACGCAACTAGTGTTGTGGAAATTGGGCTTTTTCCACCAAATTAAAACAATTTGTGAATTACTGCACTAAGTAACTACACCAGGTAAATTCCCAGGTAAGTGGAGGAGTCACAAGCGGTCTCATTTAAAATCTACTTTCCTTAGACTAAATTCGTGACGGTTGATAGAATTTACCTAGACATGTAATTAATTAGACAATAACCACCAAAAATATTTTGCCCAACAATAGTTATTAAATAAATAAAGATAAAGCAATAAAAAATTCCCAGGGTAACGTGGAGGAGTCACAAGCGGTCCTCAGTTTTAAAATCTAACTTTCCTCTTAGACTAAACTTCGTGACGGTTTGATAGAATTTTACCTAGACATGTAGATTAATTAGACAATACCACCAAAATATTTTGCCCCAACAATAGTTATTACAATAAAAAAGATAAAGCAATAAATAAAAAGCCAGAGCACTAGAATTTTTAACGAGGTTCGGCCTTTTTATCCTACGTCCTCGGACACTTTTCAAATTAATATTCACTAAAGCCATGATACCAAACAGAGATGAGAAGAGAAACTTTGGTCCAACACAATAGATATTGGGGACAAACTAGGACAATTTAAACTGAAGAGGCTAGGCTTGCCTTTTAATAGCCCAAAAAAGAATTTACCTAGACATGTAATTAATTAGACAATAACCACCAAAAATATTTTGCCCAACAATAGTTATTAAATAAATAAAGATAAAGCAATAAATAAAAGAGAGCACTAGAATTTTAACGAGGTTCGGCCAATTTTTCCTACGTCCTCGGACACTTCAAAATTAATATTTCACTAAAGAAATATACAAACAGAGAGAGAAGAGAAAACTTGTCCAACACACTAGATATTGGGGACAAACTAGGACAATTTAAACTGAAGAGGCTAGGCTCCTTTTATAGCCAAAAATCTCCCCACCTCCTTTCTAATTTTCCAATGTGGGAATTTATTCCAAAACCATAAATGGGCTTGAGCAATTTTAACCAACAATCTCCACCTTGGCGAAAATCAAGCCAATACAAACTTCTGCTCTCTCTCACAAAGTTATAGTGTCTTCAAATGCGCTTGCTAGCGCCAAGCTTCAATTCTTAGCAATATTGATCAAGTCCAAACAGTGTTTGAACTTGACAGCTGTCACCATCTTTGTCATCATATCAGCAGGATTCTCAGCAGTCTGAATCTTCTGGAGTTGAACTGACCTTCCTCCAGAATTTCTCTAACAAAATGAAAGCGAACATTGATATGCTTTTTCCTTGCATGATAAACTTGGTTCTTTGCCATGTGAATAACACTTTGGCTATCACAATGTACCACAATTTTGTTCTGCCCAATTTCTAATTCGTCAAGCAACCCCTGAAGCCAAACTGCCTCCTTAGCAACCTCTGTAACTGCCATATACTCTGTAGGCAAAGCCACTGTTGACTGTAAAGTAGACATCCAACTAACTGGTGCTTTTACGAGTAAACACATAACTAGTAGTTGATCGACGTTTATCCAAATCACCGGCATAATCACAATCATAATATCCGACTACGCATTGACCACTATTCTTATCTTGCTTAAAAACCAATCCAACGTCCATGATGTTCAGAAGATGTCGCATTATCCATTTCACAGCTCGACAATGCTCCTTGCCAGCATCATGCATATACCTACTCACAACTCCAACTACCTGTGAAATGTCTGGTCTCGTACACACCATAGTATACATCAAGCTACCTACAACATTTGCTTAGGGAACTTTTGACATGTATTCCCGTTCTGCATCATTTTTTGGCGACTAAGCTGCACTGAGTTTGAAATGAGGAGCAAGAGGAGTACTAACAATGTAACATCCCTTCCCGGTTCACCCGTGAACCCGAATGAACCGAGCCGAGATGCTACAATCTGGTTGAACTTATGTCCTGTCATGCTCAAACCCGTGAACCCGAATGAACCGAGCGCGAGAGTGCTACAATCTGGTTGAACTATGTTTCCCTGTCTATGCTGATATCGATCCTGTATGGCTGAAAAATTATGTCATGCTGTTTGCTTTATACATCATTTATATACAGACTAATTTAACTTTTAATAGTTATAAGACATGTACACTATTTACTTAATAGTTATAAGACATTACACTATTTTCCAAAATGAAATTTGGGCAACTATGTGCGCTATACATGCCACAGAACCAAAATATCAAAATGAATAGTTACCCTGAAGATTGGGTCTTTAAAAGATGAACTGCAGCAATTGGAAATATGACTCTCTACATTCCAGACCCAAAACCTGTGAGTTAAAACAAGTAACTCGCTGAGTAAATAAAGCTCAGTGGATATCTCAACTTAATAAGAATTAAATAAATAGGCATGTACGCACACATATCATTATACTTGCATGGTCTTACCTGCTGTTTATTATGGCTGTTTATTATGCTGTATGAATTAAGCACTTTATTAACATCGTATAGTTTAATAAATAGCACAATCTCAATAATCTTGTATGGCTCCCATAAGAGTTACAGTGAAACCGAAGTGATAAGAAGGACTGTAATGTAAACTGGAATGAATACTATCTGGCTGGGGTTGCTAATGACCCCGTATATAAATCATATCCACTCAACGGCCCCTGTAGCAGGAGTAACCAAACTATATGGGGACGCAGATCTGCTGATCCTAGTTGCGACATTTAATTACCTTCATTACGTGGTTTCAGCCCTAACCTCAAGTGGAGCATATATTAAAATCGGAATATTCACAAATGAAAATGCATAAACCAATATTGTTTACCATGTAATAGTTGTCTCGATTCTAACTACGCGTTGCTGAACGCTGTTTTCTTGCTTTAAAAGGATTCATAGAACATACTACAAGTAATATCGAATGAGTAAATAATGCAAACAATTGATAACTTGTAAAGGAAACTTGCATGTAATTAATCTAGACTGTTGGCCACCCGGTGACGCAACATTCTTCTCTCCTTTTAAAAATGTAACTTAATTTAAGAACCATTCAGAATTAATGGAAATTTTTTTTGATATTTAATTTAAAGTAAGCTGAATCTTTAGGTTGAATGAATGCCTACATAATGCATTCCAACATCATTTTCTATATGTAACCTTAAAAATCTGCCCGGGGCAGCCTGTACATGGTTCACAGAATTTCTAGCAATAGCACTCTTTCTCCTTGAAGTCCGAATTATAAGGTCCA